CTAAGTACTATCAACCATGCTGCTCTACTACTTAGGAAATGTCAACACAAGAATGGCAAAGTGAAGAGGTGAGCAATTGTCCAGTGACTGCAATTATTGTAGATAAGTTAAATGAATCACTTAGGTCATGAGCAATATATTTCTTCAGGAAATGATCTGAATCAACACTTTATTTCGATATACTTCAATCAGTAGGTATCAACACTTTTCATTCTCTTATAAGGGGATAAGGAAATGATTCTCCCCTGGGATTTATCTTCTTTCACGTGCACAGAAAGTATTAATTCTCTAGTGTTATTGGTTATAAAATCACATATTGGGAGGCTATCCAACCCATAGCTGAACAAGAATCTCTTCTATATCATAATTGACAAGAGGTTATCTGACCTTTGTTTGAAGACTTTCAGAAAGGAAACCTCCTGAAGCAATCCATTGCACTTTTGGATAATTGTTAGCACATTTTTCTTATACTTGGTCAAAATTAACTTCTTTGTGTCTTCCACCCATAGCACCTACTTATGCCCTCTTGGGCCCAAACAGAGCCAGAGTAATTCCAGGTGATATCCTTTCAACTACTTGAAGACTGCTATTGTATTGACCCTCAGTAAAGAGCAATGAATTTGGATTTAGAGGACCTGAGTAAAAATTCCATCTCTGGGGCAGCTAAGTGGCACAGTGGCTAGAGCACCGGCCCTGGAGTCAGGAGGACCTGAGTTTAAATCCGGCCTCAGACACAGAACACTTACTAGCTGTGTGACCCTGGGCAGGTCACTTAAACCCATTGCCTAACAAAAACAAAAACAAAAAAAAAAATTCCATCTCTGCCATTTACTATTTATGTGACTTTAGACAAGTGATTTAACTAATCACAACCTCAGTTTCCTCATTTTTTTTTGTTTTTTTTTGGTGAGGCAATTGGGGTTAAGTGACTTGCCCAGGGTCACACAGCTAGTAAGTGTCAAGTGTCTGAGGCCGGATTTGAGCCCAGGTCCTCCTGAATCTAGGGCTGGTGCTCTTTCCACTGTGCCACCTGACTGCTCTGCAGTTTCCTCATTTGTAAAAATGAGTAGAGGTGGTAGACTAGATGATCTCCAAGGTTCCTTCCCAGCTCAAATATGTGATACTGTGATTCACGTTAAATATTGGTAGTTCATTCAACTGAATCTCAAAGAATATTTGAGTTCAATGTTCTTCAGCATCCTGACTGCTCTCCTCTGAACACTGTCTAGCTTTGAAAATCCAATACTTCTGGATAACTTTTCAGCCAGAATTTTGCCTCTTTAAGAGAAGGACAGGATGGTCTGGGAGCAGCTAACCCTTATCTTTTTTTCACAAGGCAGGATGTTCTGCCAGAAAAGTGGGAAGAGGGATATAAAGATAATAGGTGGGATACAGAGAATGTTGGCCCTGTATAAAGTTGGAGGTACTCCCACAGTGGTGTCATAGACTAGCTATCATGGAGGGACACAGCCAGCATAGGCTGAGAGGTGGCCAAAACCAACATTGTGGACTCCAGAGGACTTTGGAACCAGGGAGCAAGTGCTCTCTTGTACTGGCACAAGGCACACTGGTACTTTGTACCAGTACATAAGCATGAGCTTCTGCAAAGTAGGTCCTGGGATTCAAATCAGGAATAACCTTGGGTAATCATCAGTGTTGCTACTGTGACTAGTCTATGTAGTCGTCATTGCCTCAGGTCCCCTTGATCTTCTGGGGATAGCCTTCATTCTCTAACTCTGAGGTAGAACTCTTAGGTAATATGATTATTATTATTTTTATAAGGATGCCAGGTCTCTTCAAGCTCCAAGAGTTAATGATTCTTGCTAGCACAATGAGTATACATTGTTAAGATCCAAATCTCCTACTGCTATGTGCATTTCCTTCTCAGAGTGCACTGTTCTTTGTCAAATTGTTGAGAGATCCATAATAAAAGGGAAGCAAGGTCATCAGATACCTCTGCTTAAGTAGAATGTCATATTAGGAGGATTCTTACTCTCTTTTAAATTATTTTTGGCATTGAATTTATACACGACATATCATTGAAATATAAAATGGGCTTGTTTGTGGCACCAAAGATAGTGAATAACTTTTTATGTATAAAAATTGTCGATAGAAAAAGCTTATATGTTGTAAAATACCTTGACCTCAAAAACTCGGCTACACAACAGATATGTTGATAGGAGATACAGGTAGGAGTATAGCACTGAAAAATAGATAATATTAATAACCCAAACAATCACAATAAAATATTTATTAAGGAAGGAACAGCACACTAAATATTTTATTTATTCTTAGATTTCTCAAGGTACTCTCAATGCTTAGGCCTTTGGATACACATATATGTATCTAAGTAACCTGACTCTGTTTTTGTCATTGTGGAAATGTTTGTGGTTCACTAGCTAGAATGTTTTAAAATGAGTGCTCCTAGCAAAGCAATCTAATTGCCATTTCACAATGGATCAGCAATACTGTACGTGATGAGGTAGTGCGGCCAATCTAGACATTTTCAATATCAGCAGTCTCATTGTCTCCCCTAGAATGTTGCTAAAATTGGAATCAGGAGGTTTATCAGTCAGCTGGAAAGCAAAAAAAAATATTCCTAAGAGATTCAGTGATTTCTGATGGTATATTTTCTGTGGTTACATAGTGACACCATATTTCCCATGCAATGCTTATTGACAAAATGGGTGACCTTCATTGATGCTTACACATCCTCTCTGTCTTCCTGTGAGTCATTAGTAATTGCTTGGCAGTTAGCTGCTGTGGCTAACCTAGCTATGAATGTGTCATTTTCATTCATTTGGAAACTAAGGAGGTGTGCTTTGCCCCAAGTATTAAATGTTAACAAAGTCAAGCTATTTTGTACCAAAATGAGGAGACATTTCCAGTTATTGCAAAATGCAACAGCCTCTCTAAACCTGGGCATAAGCCACTTGGAACACGTTAAAGTGACTTTTCAGATAGACTTGTATGTAGGATGGCTTTGACCAGCAAGGAGTTATGATAGGTAAACAATAGAGAATAATGTGACTTTATTTTTGTGTCCGGGAAATGCTGGCTTTGCTACCTGGAGGAAATAAAGACTAGCAAAAATCTATGCGAGATGGTGAACGTTCTTCAGAGGTGAGATGGCATTAAATGGGTCTGCCTTTTCAATAGATTAACTTGTTCATAGGGCCATATAAGTAAAAATCATACTTAAGTGAATAGGGGAAAAGTGCTGTAGTCCAAATGGGAAGAAAACAGGTGCCTGTACTGTGCCTCCAAAAAAAAGTAGTCTAGTAAAGAGCCAAGAAGAGAGTGATAGTGTGCATTACTGTTCTGAAGTTCTAGATTGTTGAGCTTCAACTAATAACAGCCAGTTTGTAGCTTGATAATGGTTTCTGGTCACTAGAGCCATAACTAAGTTGGAGCCATTGGAGCTTTGCTTAAGGGCACTAAAATTTTGGGTGTGCTAATTGCACTTACACTCTTTTGATAGCACAAAACAACCAAGCTTTGTACCTAGTTGGCAAAAATAATTACCACATAATGGTTAAAATGGGAAACTTCTAGATATAGCTCATTTCATTCCCTCACTGCGGCCACACTCCAGTTAACGTCCTGTGCAGATATCCACTACATCCATCTACTACCACCAGTGGTTTCCCTATATTCCCTCTTCCTTTCTCCTCCTCAAATGAATTGCTGTCTAAAGTCATAATTGCTATGTAAAGCTCTGAGGGTAACTGTCCCTGTCTTCTTCACTCAAAGTGCCTATATTCCCCCTACAAGTACTTTGATGTAAGTACTTATTAGTGTAGAGGAATGGCATCTTTAATAATTGAGAGGAGGAGCAAAGAAAAATAGAAAAATAACTGACACAATTTGGAGCCAGAAGAGACCTGAGTTTCAACCTCAGATCTGTTATCTATACGATGTAGGCAAGTCACTTAATTTCTAGGGCCTTAGTTTCCTCATTTGTAAAATGAGAGCATTAGATTAGATGTTTTCTGAGATTGCTTTTAGCTCTAAATCTATAATTGTACATGGTTTGCCTTCCTGACTTGCCATTACCTCTTATGATAATAGCAGGGAAAGCCTTAGTCAACTTCTTCCCTTTTTAATGGCTTAAACTTTAAAAAAAATTAACACATTTTTTCTCTCCTTCCCAGATCTGTCTGCTTCTCCTCATTCCCATTAAAAAATAAATAAAAACAAAAGTCTCAATAAAAATCTACATAGTCAAGCAAAACAAATTATCCCAATGGCTAAATCAAACAAAAATATGTCTTCAATTTTTGCTTTGAGTCTATCGCCTCTCTGTCAGGAAGTGGGTAGTATGCTTCATCATAAGTCCGAAGGAATTGTTGTTGGTCATTGTGTTGATCTAGAGTTCTAAAGTTTTTCAAAATTGTTTGCCTTTACAATAAGGTTGGTATTGCATAAATTATTCTCTTGGTTCTGCTTACTTCACTCTACATCAGTTTATACAAGTCTTGCCAGGTTTTTCTTAAAACATCCCCTTCATCATTTCTTTTTTTTTCGTAAGTCGGCATTTATTATTTAAGTTAAAGAACAGGTTATGAAGGGGGTGGGGGACACGTTCATAATAGAGTCCAAGATGGAGCTCTAGGGGAGAGGGAAGAAGGGAGGAGACAGGGAGATGAGAGCCTCTCCTCTGTGTCTGCTCTAGATGGGGTTGATCCTGATTTCTGAGCCTTGGTCCAGGGCACGCAATGAAGCACATGGTAAGATGAGGTTTCAGGGGCTACAGGTTTAGGAAACATCGAGAGGTGGCCAAAGTAACACACCCAATCAGAGGTGGGGGCTGGGATTCTCCTTGGATGAGCAGCACTGCTTCCTTTTAGGAATTGAAGCATAATGATAAGTTCCATCCCACTTATTTCCGCTCTTATGAATCATTCTTACAGTTAGAGTCTTTATGCTAAAAAATTCTTTCATCACCTCTCTAACTTCTTGTACTTTGCTTCTAGTTTCTTTGAATATGCATCCAACTTCTAAGCTGCCTGCTCAAGAGCTACTACTTGCTCCTCAGTTAAAGTGATCTGATGCAGATAAGGCTGAAGTGCTGCAGATTTCTGGTTTGAGTCCTTTAGGTTTCTACTTATGTTTACTGCAATATTTTTCATTTCTAGATACTTCAGGCTAGTCAGTTGGTTCATATTTTCCAGAAGTTTATAGTCTTCACTGGTAGCTGTCAGCTCCTGACACAGCCCCATGATGTCCGGCTCCGTGGCCTCCTCGGCTGTCTCCACCACAGCATCCTCTAGGCTGGGGAAAGGAGAAAGAAGAAAGGATGGAGGGGAGGAGAAGGGGGAGGGAGGGGAACAGCAAGAAGAGAGGAGGGGAGGGAAGGAGAGAAAAAGGAAAGGGTGAAGAGTCAGAGCAGGAAGTAAGGGGAGGGGCCATCATTTCTTATAGCGTTATAGTATTCCATCATATCCATACCATAACTTGTTCAGTCATTCCCCAATTGATGGGCATGTCCCCAGTTTTGAATTCTTAGGCACTATCATAAAGAGCTGCTTTAAATATTTTTCCTCTTTCTTCAATCACTTTTAAAGACTTGATATAGTGGTATTGCTGGGTTAAATGGTATCACCAGCTTAATAAAGTTTTGGGCATAGCTAACAAATTGCTTTCCAGAATGGCTGGGTCAGTTCACTGCTCCACCAATAGTGCTTTAAAGAATCTGTTTTCTCATAGCCTCTCCATCATTTGTCATTTTCCTTTTTCTTTCTTTCTTCCTTTTTTTTAAATCAATGTTGCCAATTTGATGAGTGTGAGATGGAACTTCAGAGATGTTGTAATTGATAAAATGTCAAAGGATATGAACAGACACTTTTCAGAGGAAGAAAACTATTTATAGCTGTATTAAAAAGGTCCTAAATCACTAATAATTACAGAAATTAAAATGAAAACTCTGGTTATGCTTTAATTTGTTAATGTTGCTCTTAAAAATGTGGTCTGACCAGAACATTGTATGATGTGATTAGCAATACTCCTTTTTAGCACAGCAAAGGAAGCAGTACAGTTCAGCTGCAGAGGGCAGGAAGACAGTAGCTTCAGCAAATAACTATGAGGAATGAATCAATCTGTCTCTCACATTGGAGCTGCCTGTAGGCGTGTGTGTGTGTGTGTGGGTGTGGGTGTACATACAAACATATAATAGCAAGGAGAAATAAGGCTTCCATTGCTGGTGTTCAGAAACTAGTCTATACCCCACAGCCCAGGTGCATTAAAACCTAAAGTCTGCTATCTAAATCCCTTTCCCTTGGGTTGGAGGATTGAGCTCAGTTTCACAGGACCACTCATGTGAGTCTAAGCTAGATCAGTAAGATGGATCATCATTGCTCACGTTCTCTTTCAAACATTCTTGATGTTGGGCCTGGTCTGCCTGCCATGTGGCTGCCTCAGGTGCACTGAGAACCACAGTTGTCAGTGTCTTCTTTGTGTTTTTTGTTTTTGTTTTTGGTTTTTTTTTTGGGCAACTGGGGTTAAGTGACTTGCCCAGGGTCACACAGCTAGTAAGTGTCAAGTGTTTGGTCTGAGGCCGGATTTGAACTCAGGTCCTCCTGACTTCAGGGCCGGTGCTGTATCCACTGTGCCACCTAGCTGCCCCTGTTAGTATCTTCTTAAGGGAGGTAGTTCTAGACATGGGCTCGGCCCTTAGGACATCAGGTGCTCAATAATAAAGTTAGTAGTGAGAAGAGCAGGAAGGAAAAAAAGCTGATAGGGTAGACTTTAAAGAGGAGAGAGAAACATGGCAGCCTTTATGGAGTCAGTCACTGTACTGCATTTAGCACCAATTTCCATCTCTGAAATAATTTACAATTGCTTGCATTTGCATAGTGATATATCCTTTTAAAAGTGCTTTCATGTACATTATCTCATTTCTCTATTTCACAGCTTTGTAAACCCCCATTGCTCACACTTAGAAGGTAGTTTCTTAATCTATGTTCGAAACATAGTGCTCTTGAAACATAAAATTAGTGTGCAGACAATTTGACTGGGTTATAGGTGACCTTCATGCAAAAGTGATTTCCTGTGCAATCTATTACCATGTGGCATATTTCATACACTGATTACAACCTTCAGAAATATCCCAGCAGAGCCCACTGTTTTAGAGACATATTCATTCTACTCTGTGCATTGGAGTGTAGTGTATTTCCAGTCACTGCAGAAGCTTCCCAATGGTTTTCAAGGGTATTCCTGTCTATTGTAGAGTAGAGAATAGGGAAACATTCATTTGCTCTAACAATGGCAAGTTAGGGACCAATTTCCTCTTGAAGGGTCTGACTTGAAGTTGTTTAGGAATGACAGGCCACTGATTCTCAGTTATATTGCCATCTTCTATTAATTAAAGTCCACAGGCCCAGGCTCTAGGCATATCAGTCAGTATGTCAGTCAGTTAACAGGGCATTCATTAAGTACTTACTATGTTCTAGGTCCTATGCTTAGCACTGTCGAGACAAAAAAAGGGAAAAGACAGTCCCTGCTCTCAAGGAGCTTGCATTCTAATGGAGGAGACAATATGCAAATTGCCGCTTATAAACAAGACATAGATGAAATGAACTGGAGGTATTCTCAGAGGGAAGGTACTAAGATGATGGACTGGGAAAAGCTTCTTGTAGGAGCAAAGACTTTAGCTGAGACTGGAAGGAAACCAGGGAAGCCAGGACGCAGAGATAGGAGGGAGAGAGTTTCAGGCAGTGAAACTGCCTGTGAACAGTTGGGACAGCCAGTGAAAATGAGGGACAGCCAATGAAAATGCCTGTAGCCAAGAGATGGAGTATGGAGAGTCTATGTGGCTTTCTACTCACTTGCCAATCAGTAGTTAAGACCTGTAGGATGGCTTGGCTAACAAGATCAGATACTATAAATTGAATGTCAGGCAAAAAGCCTTGCCAGATGAGTGGTTCTTTGAATAACGATTCTAAAAATCTCTGAGTTAGGCTGGCTAGGCTAAAGACTAGCTACTATTGTTATGTCCTGTCATTGAGTTGCAGCAATTTAGGGGTTAATGGGAAACTGCAGAGGTAAGCCCTTGCAGTAGGGGAGCAATTGACAGGTAGGACCTGGAGGAGGGTGAGAGGTGAGATGCCACAATAGGGACAGGATGTTTCTTTCAGTTAATACCTAGAAGGCTGGTGCTGAAGATCATAACAGGAGCACAGGCTGAGAACGTTATGGTAAGGGAGCAACCAAGGATGGAGGTCAAAAATGCCAAAGCCAGTTCAAAGATTCCAGGAAAACAGAGTCAAGGGCAGAATAAGCCTGAGGGGATAATAGGTGGCTGTTGACTCTGCACAGCTTCCTTCTATTGGCAAACTGAGATATGTTAATGATGTTCCCTTTAGATTCTGAAAGGAATATATGGGCTAACTATGGGAATGGGGAAGCAGGAACTGTACAACCCTATCTGCTATTCAAATGAGCAGACCAAGATGGAGACCAAAGGATTATTGGTTAGTTAATTAGAATAGTTAGAATGGTTAGAAATTGTAATAGTTAGAAATTATTTGCAACACTTCCTTTTAAGTGAGGTCATGATAAAAGTATCATGTGAACTTAGGACTTCAAGCTGAAAAGGATCTTAGATATTAGAACATCCTAAATGTAGAGCTGAAAGGGAATCAGAGATCATCTAATTCAAACTCCCAATTTTTTACACAAAGGAAATTGAGGTAAAGAGAGGTTAAGAGACTCACCTAAATTCATACAGGTAATATATGTCAGAGTTGGGATTTGAACCCAGGTCTTCTGAATCCAGGTGTAATACACTTTCTACTATATAGCCCTGCATCTGGTACAACTCATTCATTTTGCAGATGGGAAAAATGTTCCCCCCAATAAAATGAGGTGACTTGCCTAAATCCACACAAATAGTAAATACCAGAGGGTAACAAAGTCATAAATAACACAACACAGAATAGAACAGAATTCCAGAACTAAAAGGGACCCCATAGATCATCAAGTTCTAATTATATTAACTTGGATTTCCTCTACAACATTTCTGTTAAGTACATGATCAGCCTTTGCTTGAGCATATCCAGTGAGATGGGTAATCACTACCCCATGGGCTCAGGAAGTCCATTCTTGTTGGGAGGGATTGAGAAAATATTGTTCATAGAAGCATAGTTTTAGGAGGAACCACTTATGAACTCAGTAATTCATTCCCCTATTTATTTATCCTCTCTAGCCTCCCACAGCTGTCACCAACCTCACCCTACACATCACTATTACACAATTTGTCCTCATTCCACTATCATCCCCTTAGTTACCAGGTGTAATACTGATAGAGTTGGGCAGTAGTAATTACCCCTATCTATAATCACTCACATTCTTTCTTCTCTGTCTGCCTCAGCATCATTGAAGGCAACATTTGGAATAGTCAAGTCTGATCCTGTAGTCAAAAAGTATTCCATTCCCCCAAAGTCCTTACAAATCTAGGGGTGTTTAGCCTATGGGCTGAAGTCTATTTAGCTTTCAACACAAATTGTGGTGATCCATGCTCTTGGGGATGAGACCTCCTGGCTAGCTCGAGTGGGCTAAGGATGATACAGTGCAGAGATATAAAAAGTGTGGAACCTTAGTAGGGAAATTTTATAGGAAATACATAGTAGATAAAGTGCTAGACTTGGAGTCAGGAAAATCTGAGTTTGAATCTTTCCTTAAACACTTACTAGTTCTATGACCCTGAGCAAATAATTTAACTTCTCGTAATTTTATCATCTGTAAAATGGGGTTACTAACATCTGCCTTACATGATTGTTGTGATGGTCAAATGAGGCTCCGATTGTGAGCTTTCCCCTTATTTATTCCTGGTCTTGGGTCTAACACACCACTTTCCACACATCTCCTTGTCATTACTCATCTCATTCTTTCCAACTCTAGCTATATGTGTTGTCTTCCCTTATTAGGGCAGAGATTACCATATTTGCTTGTACTTGTATTCTGAGGACTTTGTACAGTCCCTGGCATGTATTAAGTGCCAAAATAAATGTTTATTCATTTCCATATCTTTAAATCTCTTAGTCTCTCTCTCTCTCTCTCTCTCTCTCTCTGACTGACACCGAGCAGGAAGCTGAAATCCCTTAACCAGAAAGAAGATAGGCCACCTTAAATTTTGTTTGGAAAAGTTC